TTGATTTTCCTGTGATGTTTATAGCATATACCAAAACCTGAATGATTATGTATCTGTACCTCTGCATGGTTCTTAATTTTGGAGAAGTCTTGACCTCTACTTTGTAGCTTTGATTCAGACAACAGTGTAAAATCTGAGTTACTGGCATCTTCGGAGACGGCAGAGATTTCAGTGGCAACTGGTTGTAACTGCAAAACAGTAGAAACATTTCTGAAAACCAGTCACTCAACTCTAAGCCACTGCAGTTTCCTAATAAACAAGGAAAATTACCTAATCTTTGATATTTACATCTGTGGTCCTTACACTGTGACCTTCTGCCTCTGCAGAAGAACTACTAGTTTTTATATTCACAGCAGTCAGTGAGCAGTACTTCTAGGGCAGCAGTAGAGGTTGCCCATGGGTGGTAATGAAGATGCTTGATTCTCATGTGGGTGTATTCAGGAAGATGTTTCTTAAAAAGTAATTGGAAGGAGAAAGGAATCTGTCACTAGTTAAGAGAGTGTTTGGTATCTCTTTGTCTGTGACTTGACTGCAATTTTCTCTTATCTACAGGATTAATATTTGAGCTTTCAGGAACAAAAAACTGTGTGCATTAGTTTTGCTTGTCAGCAGTATTAAATATAAATCTGTAGGAAGGAACTGTTTCAACAGGATGTGGATCTGAAAAGGAGCTGATGTTGAAAAATCACCTTCTGGTATGTCTGTGAACATGCCACCCTGGGAGAGTATGAGCATGTGAACCATTAATGGATGCAGGGTTGGAAATAGTGAATACATTTTGGTGTGCCAGAGCATAAAATCTTTGGCTGATGAACCCTCTGAAATGGCCATTGTTATTGTGCATGGGGAAGGCATGGGTAAAGGTGGCCCTCCCTCCTTCCCTCCCCACTTGTGCTCCAGGGAAGAGGAGGACAACTCTTAATGCCTTTGAGCGACCTCGGGGTTCTGCTCCCACCCCTTTTCCTTGCCCTGAACAAGCGAGTGGATGGACTGTTTGGGTTCTTGAGGATTCTAGGAGGGGGGTTGTACATTTCATGTTTTGTAGGGGCTCAGACATAGTGCCATTTTTGTCCCTGATTATCTTAAAAATCTTGTTAAGTTGCTCCTTGGTGAAGTGTAATTCATACATAAACACATTGCCAGCCTCCCTTTTACTTTATTAACAGTGTGCTGGAGCGAGTTTTTGTGTTCTTTGGTGACTCAAGTGACCTGTGGTTTATTGTTTAAATTGTGGGACTACTAAATGAAGAATCGATTTATAATCCATGTGTCTGTTGACTTAAGTAATCCTTTTACCAGAAGAATAGTGTTGGCTACCTTTATAAAACTAAGCAGCTGGCATTCTAAGCATGAGTGATTCCTAACTGTTATCTCTGCACATTGCCTTCAAAGGAATCTACGTGTTTTGCTCCATTATAAAGCTTTTGTTAAAGTACCTTTCCTGATACTGCCCTCAATGTTTTTCCCCTTCTTTAGCCCGCTGGTGGTTTGTGTTTTGCATGTAGGCAGGCACTAGGCACAGGGGCTGACTTGCTCAAGACCTGGTAATGCGACCGAGGAGGCTGATTTCACCCAGGATGTCTGGTCTCTCAGCCGGTGCTTGAGCCACCACAGTGGGGTCCCCCAAAGGGGGACCGAGGAGAGCACAGATGGCACCACCATTCAGCTGATTCCTCCTTGACTTCTGGGTAATGCTGGGAATAGGTTTGGAGGGGTTAGGGAAATCGTTAGGCAGAAATCAGTAAAACCTATTATCCTATTACATTGGTTTTGCCCTGTAATGCTGTCCTTGGCTTAAAAAATAGGCTGTAGGTCTCTTACTTTGCCCAGTGTCCCTTGTTCCTATTAAAGTGGCAGTCTCCCCCCATCTAGTGTGGCCTTTCTTGCTGAACTGAATAGTGCAGACTCCTTCTCTGGAGCACTGTGGATGAATTCAGTGAATTCCTTGGGCATGCCACCTGCCACTCCTTGCTCTTTCATCAGAAGTAGACGGCTTTGGGCTTCCCCTTCTCTAAAATCTTAGGTGCAGAACCTCAAAGAAAGTTTGACTAACTTCACACGTACTTGAAGTGGTTTTTTCCCCCTCATCTCTCAGCTGCGCTATTTAATATGCTGAGTCTCTCTGGATTTGTCTTTCAATTTGCTCTTTCAGCCATACTCCATTTCTGTTTTGCATAGAGTACTGTCAGTGTCAGGGTTGTGGCCAGGTGGGGGGCTTTGTATCTATACCTATGTCTTGTCCCTAGTTTTTCTTTTGGACTTCAGTAGAATTCTAGGTGAATTCTTGGGTGGATTTTGGAGTAGGAAGAGGGAGAATACTGTCTTGAAAACTATAGGTATCCTTCAAATGAAAATAGTGTTGTTTTCTGGTCTTTTTTAAGGTTTTTTCCCCTGTATTCTACCATCTTGCCAATGTCCTTTGCATTTAATTATTTCTTGTACGTCTTTTTCTTCCATTCTTGCACTAGTTCTCCACTCTGACTTTTTAAAAATTGCTCTATTATATTACAATAAGTAAATACACCTGTTTCTCCAGGTATTGGGTGATCATGCCAAAGCTGTTCTTTTGGATCAAATTATTTACTTTATTACTGTTTTCTTCCTCTTTGAATGTGTTCCAAACCGCAGTCCTCTTGAATTTTACACCCATTCCGGTTTCTCATGAGTTCCTCTTTCTGACAGGATTAGCTGTGAACACCTGGAGCTTTCTCTCCTTGTTTGCTCTGCTGCTTGTTGCTGCTGAACAATGATGCTTTTAAAGTATCTTAATCCTCCTGTGGATATAAATCACGTGCTAGGGTTCCCAGTTCCCATAGTGTGTGGTTTTCCAGTGTGTCGCTATTGCCTCTCTGGTCTTTCCTGCTGAATTGTTTGCCTTGAAACATAAAACATTTTGGGATAAATTTCTGCAAATTATTTGGGATTTCTCAAACCAAGTTGGACTGTTTCTTAATAAAAATCATTCTTTCCCTAAAGCAACTGAAAAAAAAAAGCAACAAGAAAAAATTCTTTTGCCAAATAGGAGGAATGGGAAGCATCTCCTACCTGAGACCCCCTGCTAACGGTGGTTTGCATCTCTATGATGAGCTATTAAATTGACCTATTTATGGAATAAAAAAATGTGAGGATTCCTTAGGTAATTGTACTTCACTATTAATGTTAAAGGGTTGAGAGATACAAATATAGCATAAATAATAGGTATTTGAAATATTCTCCAAAAAGTCACAATTTTTTTCTATTTTCTTTCGTTAAAAATAATTTTTCTTTCCTATTTCCACAGTTCTGTGCTGTTTGTAACAACTACTCCAGTTGCAGATAAGTCAGCTCTGAGCTGGGTTTCAGTGGTAACTTCAGAGTTCATTTTATTTACATGGAGCTTCTGACAGAAAATGGAAGATTTGATTTGTGTGTCAGTGAAGGCTGTGATTCACTAGGGAGAAAATACAAGTAGTTTTCATGGCCTCGCGTCTTCCAGCCTGTCTGTGGGCACTGGGAAATGGGTCCTGCAGTGTAAAGGCTGGGAACTGGCTTGAGACAAAAGCATCCCTTGGCCTACAGGGTCCTGTCGTGCTGTAGGGCATGTCTGTGGAGACTTCACTGTCTCTTACAGAAGCTCTTAGAGTTTTTATAAATAAAAAGAGCAAAAAGGCGGGTAGATTGGCTATGAAGTTAGGTTAGCGGTGCCTCATGTTCATGGATTCATGGATTGTGCCTAGTTCTCCACTCATACTATTGTAGAAATGCAATTTCTTCTATGTAAAGATCTTTTACAAAAATACGTTTTTTCATTTTTTCTAAGTTCTTCATGTTTGCTGTCATCTCTTTCTTTGTATTCTAGCATCCAACTTCACTGATCCTGATTAACATTTTCTTTATCTCTGCTGTCTGCTTGGAGGTGGGAATCTGGTGTGTAATAAAATAGTGAAAATGCCCCCATTGTGCGGTCTTATAGTGTTTTCTGGGTGCTAATGTCTTCTGAAGCTTTTGCAAGAACTACTTGAGTAACTAGTTACCTTTGGAAAATATGGGTGATTTAGTTGTGTTTCAGAGTGGTATGTGAGTGACTAGAGAGATGTGGTCACTGGGTCTGCTTACAGCTGTCCTCTGGTCCTCTGTGGTATTCTGCTAGCCAGCCTCTGGCCTTACCTTGTCCTTGTGGCTGACACGCTGGGCATCATCAAAGTGCCCTTGAACTACTCTGTTCCCTGCTTTGGGCAAGGAGAGGGAAGCCAGGATGGTGTCCTCGGGCGCCATGTGCTTTGTCGAGGTTGGACCCAAAGCTTGGAATCCCTCTTGCGTTCTGTGTGTGAAGGCTGTGGCTGGGCCCCTGGCCACATCCCCACGTGGGCACGGTGGTCTGGTGGGAAGGGAGGGCTCTGGGCAGAGGCTGTGGCCACAGAGGAGGGGCTGGTTCTATTGGCAGCCTGGTGAGGTGGCCATTTGCACGGTGGTGGTTTAGCCAAGGGGACAGGGTCCCTGGGGAATGAGCTGGAAGGTGCTCAAGTTCCTGCCTGCTGTTGGGTGAGCTCCAGGTAAACAAGAGCAAGTGGTTTGACCTGTGCCCAGGATGTCTGAATGACTAAAGAGGAGGAGGAAATAAAGTCTGTGTGCACCAGTCTGACCTTGCAGGCAGCAGTCCTGAACCCTGCCTGGGCTTCCAGGGCAGACTGGTGGTCATAAGCCCCAAGAGAGAAAGTTCCTGCACAAGAACTTCTTGATTAACTTTGTCGGCTTCCGCTTTAACTTCAGTTATATTTGTATCACTTGAGTTATTTGAAACAGTTTAAAATAGCCCAGATTCCACAGGCACTTACATTTAAATGAAAAATAAAATAAAAATAAGGACAAGCTGGAACCATGCTCACTGTTGTTTGTGTACTTCTTTCTTCCCATTTCGAAGAATTGCATCTCATACCCGATTTCTTTTGCAGTTTTGTTCATTGGAGGAACTGCTGTATGTCAGCCATGCTAAGGGGCAAGTGATGGAGGCAAGTACTAGTTTATATATTCATAGTTATCTAATACTGTTTTTGCCAGTTTCTCCTTTTGAACTGTTTTGTTTCCCAGTGCTGCTGTGAAATAATTGCACAAATTAAGGACTGTATTAGCATGCTCTGGGATTTAATAATTTTAAAACATCTGCTCAGTGTGACTGTATATGGAATTGTTAATTTTGTCTCTGATGTGCTGTATTCTCGTATGAATAAGAAATGTGAGGTTTTGAACTACATGCTATAAAGTACTCTATTTTCTCCCTCAAACAGAGTAAAGGTTGTCACAGAATGTAAAGGCTGTTGTAAGTGGGAAGAAAATAAGCACAAAACTTGAATCCTAATCCAAATAAATGAGCTGATTAATTCTGCGGATTCACAGTTCTTCACGTTTATGAGTATTTTTTTCCCCAAAAGTAGGTACTAGGACAATAGCAGTTTTAAGGGTCTTCACACCAGATATGCAGTTTGAAAAGGCCTTTCAAGCTCACAACAGACTCACCATATGGAAATAGGACTAGGCAGGTGAGCACACTCACCATAGGAGTCTCTTAAGATCCTAAAGATAAGAGTCAGTGTGATTTCAGAAACCAGCCATAGAGTATTTGGGGTAAGAGTGACTCGTCTGTGAGCTAACTTAGACTGATTTGTTTCAGGTTGGTTTGTAAATTGACCTAGGCCTAATTTAAGCAGGTTAACGGTTTCCAGCAGAGAATGCTGTGAGCTCTAGTTAGACTGCAGGGGTGGTCATCAGCATCAACCATGTGGCCAGTGGTAATTCGGATAGAAAGTGTGCAGGAGATCAAAAATATACTGGTTAGGGAGTATATTAGGCGTTTTTGCTATGAACTACTGTTCCTCAGTGAGTCCTGACTGAGGAATGAATACTGAGGGAATTAGCTAAAATGAAAAAGGCAGTTATGGGTCAACTGTCAGGTTTGTATTTTATACGCCAAATAATTTTGGGATGCTTGCTTTTTAGCCAGGGAGGCTTGTTCACTGAACCATTTGGAAAATCTAGTTTTACCTTTTTTCCCCCAAAACTTAAATTGAGTGGAGGCCTGCAATTCAACTTTCTGGAAAATCTGTTACATGAGAAAAAAAGAAATATTAAGAAAGAGTGAGCTCAAAAGTCAAAGCATAATATTAGTTATGCACTAAAGGTTGGTTGCACGTTTTTTTGATTCCACCACACAATTTCTACATGAATATGGATAAATATATTATCCTGGATGTAGTTTATTACTTTGCATTGAATGTGTTATTGATAAAACTGGCCAATATATTTAGCTTACAAGATCCTGTATGATTCCAGTATTTTGCTTTCTGTAAGTACTGAATTTCATCTTGCCTCCAGCTGATAGCAACGACATTTGGGGAAAAAAAAAAAGTGTGAGGCAGCTCTTCTGATATTTTTGGATGCCAGTTTGGAAAGCATTTTGGAATATCTGTTTAACCCATTGTGTCAGGTTTCAGATGCACAAAATCAAGAGCGCTCTAATTGTAACCTCCATGCATTATGTTTCTGCAGCTGTTTTAAGATAAAAATGAATGCTCTCAAACATATGCTGCATTTCAGATAAAATGTTTTGTTGTTTTTTTTTTAAAGCACAGGCTGCTTTCTGCCAAGATTGAGGTAGACCTCTCTGATCTGGTTTCTGTATTTATAGAAGCCTAATCAAAGCTTTCTCCTGCAAGAAAACAATGCTTAGCTTCCGAGCGTGTGATCTCATGGCACTGATGTGAAGCTGTCACACAGCATGTCCGTCTGTCCTTCCCCTGCTGTAGTTCTGCAGGAGCTGTACAGAGCCCATGTGTAGATAGAGTTGCTGTCCTGCCCTGCTGCTTGGTGAGCCTCAGCTCTCCCAGAGATGCTGCCTTTCCCTCTGCCACCCACACACACTGCTGCTCCCGCTCAGATCGGTTGCTTAATCTACCTTTAAAAAGGCATTTTTGTTTTCCTTGAGAGCTTTGGACAGACTATGCCAATTGAAACCATTGCACTTGCATGTTCTTGCTTGGAGACAGATTTTCACATCTAGTTTCCAGTGCCATCAGTGGATGTTGGCAGAAATAAGCCATTTTTTACTATTTGGAAATGCATAAATGATTTGGAAATATTTTGTTTTCTTGCATATATTAAATACTGTGAAGTTAGGCTTTCTGCAGGAAAATCAGGTAGAGCAGACATTACATTTGAAATACAAATTATCAGGTCCTTGTCGAGGGACAGAATTAATTCTGCCACAGAGACTAACATGCTCCTCAGAAGTTTAACCTCATGTGCTGTTAGATATTATTATGGGCTTGTTCATAATAAACAAAACCCTACTGGTTTCTCCTTGCTTCTCCCCCTTTTGAACAGCTTTTTTACCTTTCTTGCTTTCCTTTCTGGTGGGCTTCTTCCCCGAAGCGATGACTGACTTGTCTCCTACAAGCTTTGGCTTCTGCAGCACAGCCTAGGTGCAACTAATGCCTCACGGAGGGATGCTTGGACAACCCATGCCTTTTGTTTGGTTAATGGCATGTTTTGCGTGTTGGATTTTTTAACCCACTACTTTCTGCATGGATGTGTAATAATGACTCTTTTGTTTAACATTAGATAAGCATGAGATCACCGTGGCACAGCTGCATGTGTAGTCACTCTTGAAGCAATTGCACACCTAATTGGCTAACAATCTTGGCATCTTTAAAACAAACACAAGCCTTTTAAAGACAGGGGACTTATTTATGTATGAATAGTCAAATAAACCTGTTGGGTGTCATCAATGGAGTCCTCTGGCACTGAACAGTTGTGTGATGACCCTGATCCTGGAGGCAAATCCCAAGATCAAGAGACCAAAAAACAACATGAATCAGAGCAGAAATTGTCCAAAATAACCCATAATGCTTTGGAGAACATTAATGTGATTGGTCAAGGCTTGAAGCACCTTTTCCAGCATCAGCGCAGGAGGTCATCAGTCTCTCCGCACGATGTGCAGCAAGCTCAGGCTGATCTGGAGCCTGACGTGGATCTGGAAAGCCAAAGCGTCTGTGCTGAAATTGATGGTGTCTCCACCCACCCCACAGCTCTGAACCGGGTGCTCCAGCAGATAAGAGTGCCACCTAAGATGAAGAGAGGGACCAGCCTGCACAGCAGGCGGGGCAAGGCAGACGCCCCGAAGGGGAGCCCGCAGATCAGCAGGAGGTCTGCCCAGGACATCCAGTCGGGCCGGCCTAGATCCTCATCGACTACAGATGCGCCCACAAACTTGTCCGTGATGGAGATTGCTTCTTCTATCTACGTAGGTGGAGAGGAGGCCACGGCAGCAGCAGTAAGTTACTCAGATTTACTTTGGTCTTTATCATCTCCTTGTATGTTTTCTTAAGCCTTTTGAATCTTGTTCTTAAAAGCAAGTTCCTTACAGCAGAGCTAATACTACCGTGTTCAAGAGCTGCTTCAGTAGTGAAGCAAAGAGCTTAAAAGATGCAAGCATTAGTCATTTTCTCACATGGCAGGTGGCTTATTCTGTATGTATTTGATGAGTGAAATGAGAGCTGCTTTTGAAACACGTTGGGTTGGTTGGATGGCACACTGCCGTCAAATGCGGGGCCAGAGCAATCCTCCTTAGCAGCTGTTATCTGGTTCCTGCAACAAAGCCTTGCGTTTACGTAGATGGGTTTTTCCTTCCCCTTTTGCTTTGTTGTGTATTTTATAAAAGTGGGAGTGAGTGGTGCTGTTGAAAGGCTCTGGGAACACTGGCTCTAGCCTGCGACTGAACTGCTGTGCCAGGCTGAGTGAATCTGATCCAGATCAGCCGGGCTCCTCTGCTGATACAGGGTCACTGCTGTCTCCTCTGGTTTGTCTGCCTGCATGGAGAAAGCATTCACTGAAATGTCTCTGTTCTGTGGCATGTTCTTGCAAATCTGTGCATATCAGCTTATAGATGATATCAAGAAATAAGTGTTTCTCTTACCATCTCTTCTTTCCCATATCAATACAGTTGAAGCGCTCATTTTTTGAAAAACTAGGTTTCTGATTTAATTTTAACCATACCCTGTATTTTCTTAAAAATCTTTGCAGGCTTTTTCATTCAAACCCTTTGATAAAGATAGGAATAATTGTGAAACTGATTTCTGGTTCACATGCTCTTAATTAAAGAGTGTCTGACCATGACCATGGACCAAGAGAAACAATCCTGCTAGTGTTTGATGCTGCTGAGATAGCACAGCTCTGAAGCTTACGTAGATCTTTTGCTATGAAAATTTGTTCTCACATACTGCAGTTTCTTTGATGTTGGCTAGATGATGATGGATTGGGGCTCAATAAGATTTCCTCAGTCATCTGGAGGTTGCTTCACCTTGCCTCTGCCGCAGGATTGTTCCCTTGTTGTAACGTTGGCTTCAAGGAGAGGAAGACTACTTTGAAATGCTCCAAGTAAAACGTGTTTCAGAATGTTCGGCGGTATAATATGCTTTCAGCGTATTTCCCTGATAGTCATCTGGAAATTAGCATATCTTGCATTTATAGATGGTAATTACAAAGTATTAGCATAAATTACAGTATCTCTATAAGGCAATGAGTGAAGTCTCCTCTTGGGAGGAGCATTGGAGGAGTCTTCCTGGAGCTGTGTCTGAGGTTTTTATTTCTTACCAACAGTTAAGAGAAGAGAAGTGGTAGTAAAGTAGTTGGGAAAAAGCGTACGCTCCCCTTGGATGGGTTAACTTTGCAACTGAGCTGTGACAGTTCAGGTTTATCTGCTTACTGGCTCTCTGTGCATTGTCAGTGAACTTGTGATCTTTGTTTCAGGGGAAAGTTGACAGTTTTTCGAGTTTGTGCCCAAATCCAGCAACTTAGGTTTAGGAAGTAAAGTCTGGTTTGTTGGTTTAAAACTGTAGTTCCTTTACTTTGTGTATGAACAGGGAGATTGAGCAGGCCTAAGAAATTAGGTAAGTAATATGGGAATGTGGCAAAAGACCTGGAGTGAGCTGTTTTTTCTCCCTTTTGTCAGCTGATCTGACAAAATATTACCACCTTTGCCTAGACCCGTGGTCTCCAAAGTGGGGTGTGCACAACACAATCCCTTGGAGTGTGGGAAGAAAGTATTTTTTTGTACCATTAATAAGTAAAATAATTTTTGAAATTATGTCTTTTTATCTTTCTTTTCCTTTTTTATTTCAATTTTGGTGTATGTTTTATAATGTACCTAATATATTAGTTCAGTTGTACATGTATATAATTTATAAGTAGATGTACATGTATTGACAGTCCCCGCTCAAGTTTTTTACCAGTAGGTGTGTGCAGTTGAGGCTTGGAACCACTGGCCTGGATGAATTGATCACTGGGTAGGAGTGACTGGAAAAATGAGAACTACTAATCTGGCAGTAACTGCATTCTGCTACAACATCTGCTGTGTGTGAGAACAAATTTAGGAGTCAGATTTTGGTAGATGCAGCCTTTGATTACTGAGAAACAGCAATTGTGGCTGTTCCTCCCATTGACAGCACCCCATCCTGCAGGGTGGTTTCTGCGAGCGGTGGCTCTTCGGCCGCTCCGCTGAGCCGTGCTGCGGGGGAGAGCGGCTCCCGCTGCCTCTGCCGGGGACTGGGGGAAAAGGGACTGGTCGGGCTTTGTCCCCTCCGTTTTTGAGAGAGAAGGGAGGGGGCTGAAAGAGGTAAACTAAATGTATGTGAGGAAAGGCCTTTCTGGAAAGGCCTCCAGAAACCTCCGTGACCAGTTTTCCCTCTGTAGAGTTTGATGAATTACTGCTTTTTAATATTTGCGTATTGCAGCATTTTCCTGGCAGGCAATAAAGATGTATTCTGCGGTCTGAAGTGACATAACCAAGGAAATGCTCCCTTGATTTTGGTCATGCTTTGGGGAAATACACCTTTGTGTGGTGTCTCATTTGGACATTTTGGTCTGGTGGAGGAGCTTTGTACAGTGTTTATGGTATGCCCCAGCTCACTTCAAAGTTAGGTCTTGTCCAAAAGGATTTTCCTTTGCGGTAGCGAATTGGTGGGGAGAAAAGGGCAGAGAGTGTGTTCCTGCTGTTCCTTTAGCATTATTGTAATTTCAGTGTTTGAGTGTTTATGCTTGATTATTGGCATTTGTTAAATATAGCATTCTGCCCAGAGATACAACAAAACAGGACCCTTCCTGACTGTGTGGCCTTTGGTGGGCTCAGGGGCTGGGCTGCCCTCAGGACCCCCCACCTTCTCTGAGTGACCCAAGGGCAAAACCCTTGGGTGGGAAAAGCTGCAGTTTGTGTCAGAGATCTGACGTGCCTGAGCATGGGCTCCAGCCAAGCAGGGCTGGCTCTGTGCTTATTTACAGATGGCAAATTACAAGATAATATGACGGGAAATTCAAGATGCAGTTAGATGACCTGTTGCTTGCCTTTATCAGCATTTTGCAGTTGTACTTTCAGGTGATAGATTTTTTTTTTTTTTCCTTTTATGAGAGAGACTATGGGATTAAGTAATCTCAAACATAGTCTTTCCCTAATTCCGGTCCTGCCTGAAACATTCTCACATACTCAGGAAAGATGGGCATAAATTGTAAATGGGTCTCTAACCAGCTTCAGCTGGGATCAGAGTTGATCGGTGTGTGGAGGAACATCTGGTTTCTGCACAAGGATCGTGATATCAAGAGATGCTCTAAATACCAAGAGGGTTAAAAAAAAATTAGGGGTCAAAAAATGGGAATCCCTATTTCCCACCTCGAGAAGAGCTCGAAAGACTGACTTGTGCAGTGTTGCTATGAAATCTGCACAATTTGGGGAACTGCAATGATCTCGTGAGTGGCCTTTGACTTACCTTGCATAGAAAAGACGGGAAAAAATGGAAAATACAAATGGCTGGTGTGTGTGTGTTTGTTTGTTTTTTTCACAAAGAAGGGTGGAGTGTTGTCTGTTCTGTGTCCTACAAACAGCACTGTGTGTGTTGTGGTGTTAACACCCTATTGTGCAGTCATTCCAGCCTGAGACACTGTTTCAGTCACAGCCTGTGTCCATAGGTGTTGGGCTTCAAGCATGTTGATTCCACTTGAAGTTATGAATTAACAGCAGAGAAGGGGCAGGTGAAGTGCAGATGCTTGTATAGCCCCGAGTAATGTATGACAGCTTGTGCTGACTTCACAGTGTAACTATGGAATGCATTTAAAAATCAGCTACATGTAAATTTTAAATCACCGGTAGGATCAGTAGCAGATGATGATTCAGTGAAATCAGGAGAGCGTGATGCAGCTTTTTGTTAAATTAACCCTGTAAAAGACATGGGTGCATTTGGCACATGATGAGCCAGAGGGTCATTGTCTGCCACACTCATCATTTTCAACTAAATCAATGAGTTGCTAAATTGCTAAAACTATTTGTTCAACAATTTGTTGCAAATTGTTGCAAAATTAGTCACAACACAGTTCAAATGATGGAGTCAGTAAAGAGGCAAGTAAAATCTGAAATTTTTAGAGCAAACTTAAATGCAACAGGTGTGAAGTTAAATGTAAATTCAAACTTTAAACACTTTATGAGGCATCTGATTTTGTTTCACATAGCATACTTTAAATTTTCCTAATTTATTTAATCTCATTAAGACTAAATTATTTAATGAAGTTTAAGAAATAGAAACAATTTATTTAAAATGTCTGGCAGATAGGATTCATTGATCAGGGTTGAGAGTCCTCTAGAACCCTGGGTTCTGCTCAAGTTTCTATTGATCATGATACAAAAAACCTTCTCTTGATTATTTTTTTTGTTGTTGTTCATTTTTTTCATATTTACTTTCTCAAGACTTTGCCTATTGTCTCCTTCAGCTCTTTTGAATCTTATCTTTTAAATAAGTTTGGCAGTTTTATTCCCCCCCAATAAAGCACTACCAATTTCACTTCCTTGATTTTGGTGTTTGCTGATGACAGTGAAGAAACACTGACTCACCTTGCCTCAGAAGGGAGTGTTTCCTTTGAAATTCTTTCAGAATTAAATAAATCCAGCTATAATTAGAAAATATGACTGAGCTACAGCGTTCATCCATCTGTTGTGCACATATGGGCTATACAAACTAGAAGGACAAAGAAACAACATATATGATGGAGAAGTGATTTAATAATGACAAAAACTGCATAACATAGGAGCTGCAGGCAAGCAATGTAATTCTTATTTTCCTGATTCATGTTTTCTGTCATCATTTGATCTGCTGGCACCGCCCGCTGTCTCAGGACAGCCAGGTTTTGGGTGCAGGAGATGCGGGAGATCTGCCGGATCTCAGGGAGCTCCTCTGTGCCCCTCGGGTTTTTTGTGACAAACTGCACTTTTCTTTTTGTGCTGTAACCCTCTTA